TATATATAATTCTTGGATAATTACATTATAGTGAGGAATATATCTTAAAGTATCATCTATTAATTAGGATAGACATCTCCCAATTAGTAATAAGAGATAGTTTTATCCTTTGATTGACAATTAGATTTTGAAAATATTTATTTATTTTTTACATAAAGGGATTAGATAATCATAAATTCAGAGATCCTCTCTATTTGAATAGTTAATTTTCTTCTTTAAAAGATTTTCCCATTAATTAAATTTGTTAGATAAAACAAGGTTACAAAAATTCCCATATAATCAAATTAATTAATTTATCATCATGAGAACAATTTCTTATTTATCACTATTAATTAAAATGTCACACCCAATTATGTAAATTGTAGATGCCTATTACATATTGAGCAATTAAAAAATTGAATTATAAATCTTAAAGATTTGATAGAAATAAATAATTGCTATGGTTAAATAAGTTCAATGAAACCATATTACAAGCCTATGCAAATGCTAAATTATATAAAGTACAAACATTAAGATGAAATGGTAACAAATTTGTGAAAGAATAATTTTAACCTAGTTAACATGTATAATTATTTAATTCAAAATTAAAATTACTTCCTAGGAAGTTGTAGTCTAGGTGTTTGAGAACAATCATTGCAATAAAATATCTTTTTATGGGGTGGTGGATATATAGAATAGAAATAGTGCCCAAATTGTTGATCTCACTTTTCGGTCAACCCTTTTCCTTAACTTATTTTTATTTGAATCTCACTTGAGTTAAAACTTAAGCTAATAAACCCTAGATTAAACTCTAACTAAGGAAAATTGAAATCGAACAAATCAAAACATATTCAAATATAGACTACTTTAACCAAACTCTAAAATTTACTTAAAAATAGCTTTTAACCGACAAACACCCCAAAATTATATTCTACCCAAATTATTGTAGGGCTTGAAACTTCATTTTGGAAGTTACATGATGTTTAATATCATATATAAACACTATGCAAAGAAGTCCGACAATTGAATACTATAATATTTACGTACAACTTTTCAGTTCAAATTTTCATGCATTAATAGCACTTCATGCACTCAACAATTATCGTTTTTCTCTAAAGGCTAATCCAATTATCGAAATTACATTATGTAAGCTACTTAATGGTCATAATTACATATGAGTAACATGCAAACCAGTTTGGTGGCTAGCAGATTCTGTTTATTTGTAAATTTTTTCACTTAAGATTTTTCATGTATGAAAAATGGTTTCACATAAAAATCTTACAACAAATCATTATTTTTTTAAAAAATCTTTTCTAGTATGTCAAAATCATCAAAATCTTTCAAATGAACCAAATAGGGATAATGAGGGGTTCTTGGGTAGTATCAAAGTCAGGTGACCATTTGAGTAGCTTCATATGTTTCCCCGCTATTTTAATATACCTTTTTGAGAAGAGTTTAGCATAGTATTCTTTCTTTGTGGGTTGAAACATAACATGTCTGCCCTAAAAAAACCCAACTTTCCAAACACCCACAAGCTTCATGTCTTCAAACAGTCTCTTTATGAGTTCCATTTTAAGGTGACCAAATGAAAATTTTCCAACCAACGTAAATTGGTGAGCCTCAACCAAGGAGTTGATTTCAGTTTCAGACATAAAAAGAGCTAGTTTACCACATTTTCTGTTAGATTTCTTAATAAAGGCACAATCCTCATTCCCATCCAAAGTATCATGATACATTTTGGGGAAAACAAGGTTGTCTCCAATCAAATTGCTGGAATCGACATCTAAATTTACCGCTTCTACAAAGGAAACTCTTTTTGAGTTTAAAGGGGGATTTCGATGATCAGGAGGAGGATTCATGTCAAGAATAGTGAGGATGGTACCAATGGAACAACAAACCAACCCTCCCGAGAAATAAAAAGCTTCAAAACACAACTAAACCACTGGAATACAACATTGAATAACACCCTGAAACACAAATATACCCGCGATAACAACACAAAGCACACAACAAAAGAGAAAGTAGAGAGCCATCAAAAACACCACCAATACAACCTTAAAGAAACCACTAAAACACGGGAAACAACTAGAGATAACTCCAAACAAAAATGCAGGTTACGACCAATGATAATGTTGAACTAAATTGAGGTCTTCCTTTTCCTTCCTTTAAATACCCTAGGATCTAGCCTTAGAATTTTTCTATTTTGACTCTCATAGAGGACTAGACTGAGACCTGCAATATTAGAAATTCAAACCATTTCTTCGCTCCTTGAAGTTTCATATGGACGGTTTCTAATCCTTGACGTCCAGTTGAGTTGATTAAAGCCGACTAATTGAAGCTCTTGTTGAGTTCCCATAAGAATTTGAAAGACATAGGTGGACCCCATGACGTGTGTGACGTTTGAC